GCAGAAGTTTCTCCTTATGAACTTAACATTTTACTGCGTGGACTTTTGGACAAAGTAAATCTAAATTTGACTATTGCCCAAGCACCCAAATAATTTTTAAAAATTCAAAAATATTTTTTAGTATTTAACTTTACTAAATTTATCTTTCAAATTTTTCATAAGACATTCTAAAACAAAATCAAACAATTTGTTGACTTCGAGAGGAAAAAAGAAGGTGAAGAATTTTGGGGCATTTGTTAGTAAATCTCATTTAAAAGACTTATGTCCCATTTAATTCTATTAAAATTTTTGTAACTCATATATTCTTATGTGATTAAAAAACGATACTATTGTCATCAATTATATAGATGGTAATCAGTAAACAATATTATTACGTAATATGAAAAAATAAAGAGAGAATTGGTGATAAATCCTTATTCCTACCCCTATATGTCACTAAGTACATGGTGGTTCTACTAGGGACATAAGAACATCTATTGGTTAAAAGAACATTGACATATTTTGTAACATAAATACCACCTATATGTTTAAAATTTTATTTTAACATATCTATTCAAATATTTTTTTATCTATTCAATTTTTTTGAACATATATGTTCAAACTCTCTCTCTCTCTCTCTCTCTCTCTCTCTCTCTCTCTCTCTCCACCCACTTTCTCTCTCTATTTTTTGTGTAACGACTTTTTTATTAGCCAACTTCACTCCCTGTCAATTCTTCAACTATATTTTTATAGCGATCCTGGTTTAAACCCAACTCATTTATTGTTTTGGATCTGGGATTTCTTGTCTTAATGGTTGTTTATGTCTTCTTCCATCTTATTCCTTGTTGAGTTTGGTTATTAGAGTGTCTTGGTTGTGTTTGAAACATGTTAGAAGTTAGTTTTTCAAAACTGTTGCTGCCCAGATTTTGCTTGTTCGCTCGAATGAAGTTTCTTGCACTCGAGCAAACTTTGAGAACTTCTAGTACTTTTGCAGGTCTACAAAACTATTAAGAGTATGGCATTCTTAGCTCAAGTAGTTTTTTTTACGCTCGAGCAGTCTTGGCTCGAGCGGTCCTTCTTAAGCTCGAGCAGTCTTTAGGAACTCTCAGTACTTTTGCAGGCCTGCAAAAGTACTGGGAGGGTGTTGTTCTTTGCTCGAGAGGTACTTTGTTCGCTCAAGTAGTCTCTTTTTTTGTGTTTGGCCGCTCGAGCGGTCTACGCGTATATTAGTTCCGAAAAGTCACTTTTTGAGCCATTTTTTCATATCTCTCTCTCTCTCTAAACACTTCAAAACCCTAAATCTAGACCCTCTCTCTCTAAAACTCACCTTCAACCTCCAAATACTCTCAATCTATAGATCTCTATACCCTAGTCCCTTTGTTAAAAAGGTAGAGTTCATCTAGAGCTTCATTCTAATCGGAACAAAGTTTATTTTTGACTTCCTCAAGTTTTAACTCTTGCTCTTCTTGGTCCTTGTCTATGAGGTAGGCATTTCTCCACACGTTAGTATGGTTTTTAACTTAGTTATTTATCTTTTCAAAGAAATCGTAGGATTTGGGGATTTTTATAAAAAGCTAGGGTTTTGGTTTGAAATCAAAAGAGGCGTTTTCAAAATGGGTTCTTGAATATGAATATGGGTTTGTATATGTTGTTGAGTTGTGATGAAATGGTGGATTTTTATCCTTGGAGTTGATTTTTGAAGAAATTAGATTTTACCCTAAATTGTGAATATTTGATTTTTGTAAAGAGAAAAAGAAATTGGTGTTGGTTTTATGAAATTGGAACGATGATGATGATGATGATGATGGTGGTGGTGGATATGAATTATCACTCCTATCTTGAAATGTTGGAAAGTATATCTTTATTGAAAATTAATTATCTATTTAGAGATATCTGTTTTGGGCTATCGGTGGAGGATAACTATGATTGTTGTAGATATTACATGAGAATTAAGAGAATTGAAATTAATTTCTCATCCATTTGCATTGAGTATTGTAACATATTTAACACATTGAAAATGGTTATTGTTTTGAGAAAAATGGGTGAATACCTCGGTAAATCTAGGTACGGAATGTAGTTGTGGTATTATGTTGACTTGTGTGTTCTTGGTGAAAGTTCAGAAACCCGTACAGATAGATGCCGAGCCTTCTGGTTAGTACTGGTAAAAATGTCAATTGATAGTGCTTGTAACCTACTTGCAGACACATCCTAGAGATTCCCAGTGTTGTATCCCTATTGTAAAACAAATAATTTCATGAATTGTGATATAAACTTAGCATTGTATGGTTTTGGAAAGAGATGTAAAATGTTTTGGCATTGGCATTAGCATTGCATATGCATTCACCTTATAACTCTATTAAAATTCATACATTGTGTTAGAGTTTTTCTACTAGGCTTTAGCTCACCCTATGTAGAAAACCATTTTCAGATACTGATGGTATGCCTCCATCAAGGCAGTAGCTTGGGAGGACTAGGAGCCAAGAGCTTTATTTTTGTTATTGTTGTATCTATTTTTGTACAAGGCTAAGGTTTTATATGTATTGAGTTTAAACTTACTTTTGTTGTAACCAAGCACCGTCTTGGAAAGTTGTAGCCATCAGAGTATTAATTTATCTGTTTTAACTTTTATTTCATATCTCTTGCTTATGACACATGCTATAAATTCATGGTTAGGGCTTATGAATGTATAGTTGCATGTGTCATCTTTTATAACAATTGATTTATATGAATGTAAAGATATCATATTTTGAAACGTATTATTAATTGGCAAAGATTGTGAGATGGTTTTATTGTTATATTTTGGAGGCGTTACAATTTTAAACTCAATCTCAACTCGACACAAAAACAATGTTCAATGTAAAACCCAAGTTATGTGTAGAATTATTTTATTGGATAGATTGGTAATTAAATTAATTTATATGGGTCATTTAGTAATATCAAGGAATTAGTTATGAGATGGTATTATAATTTCTATTACTTAGATGGGTAATTTTGCAATCTTGGGAAATTAGGTTAATAAGTCCACAGGTCGTGCCTTGGAAAAAAAACAAAAAAACAAAACAGAGGTTAGTGAATTGCTGTGAAGGGTTTTGGAGGCAGCAAGGGTTTGAAAAAGTAAAAAAAAACAAAAAAAACAAAGAGAGAGGTTCAAGTGATGCTGCAAAGTTTTATGTAACCTGTGGTAAGATTCAACCATTGATTGGGGTAAGATTCTTGTATCACCAACCAGTTATTAATTTTCTATTGATGAAAAAAAAAAAAAAAGGCCGAAGCTTTATGTAACCTGTTTGTGCCTATTTGGTTTTGAGAGCTTGATGAATGGTCCCATATGTGGAGTGTGGTCTAGGTAAAGAGTAGAAACAGTGGAGCAATTTGGGTGGGTGTATTTTGACATTTGGGTTTTGTACATTGGGTAAGGAGTGTTTGGCTATTGAATTAGGTGGATTAATTTGGTGTCTCTTGGATTTTAAGCATATATATATATAATGGGTTCTTGTTGATGTGTGAAAGACATCAAATATTAATTTATTTGAGGTTCTATTTATTAGGTTTGTGTGATTGAATTAGTGGAGCTGGGTGTCTGGAGTTAGTGTGGTGGAATATTATTTTAAGCATTCGAGGTAAGTAACCCTATATCACTGTTGGTTCATTTTTATTCCTATTGAATCGTTTAAAATTATAAATATTTATTTATAGCCTTCATGTTCTCTTAAAATAAAATATGGGTCAAGTATAAAACAACATCGAATATTATTATGAAAATTATTTGAATATTTTGTGAAACTATTCTGAAAATTGTACCAAATGTTTATTCTGAAAATGTTGAATATTTTATTTAAAAGTTGTGTATTGTTTGAATTTTGAACATCACTCTAGTTTGAATATGATTTGGACTCTAGCTAATGTGGGTTATTTATTGGCACAAAAACTAGTTTCTTTTGGGGTTTTACCACTGGCCTAGGTGTGGTTTTGGGCCTTGTCACGGGCTAAGTGACTGTAGTCATCAAGACTTGAGTTTTGTGAATCGCATCATTGAACCATCTGAATATTGAACCATCGATTTGAACAATAAAATTTCTTTGAATTATCTCATTGTCTTTTCAACTAGAATGTATTGCTACTCTGTTTATTTTCAACTATGAAACCATCTTACAAAATAATTGCTTATTTATTGAATTGTAGCAAAAATATATTTATTGGTTATCGACTATTTTTTTTGTATACTTGATCCAGCTAGCAATAATGGTTGTTTATTTACTGGGCTGTCTAGCTTACCCTTATTTTATTTTTTTTCAGATTTTGAGGAGTAGAGCTGCGTGGGGTTTTTACTTGTGAGAGTGCCGAGAGTAGGACTATGATTTAAGTACTTGGATTATTATTTTGTTAGTGGATTATATTAATGGACTTGGTGGACAATTTCATATGATAAGAATTATTTATTTTTCTGGATTTTGGTATTTTGATAATTAAATATTTAATTTGAGTATTTTATATTGTTTGTTTATGTGATTGGACTCTTAGCCTTGCATGCTCACTTAAATGAGTGTGCGGCGTTGTCATGGTGCTTGGGGCGTGACAATTTTGTGGTATGAGAGCCAGTTTATAATTTTAAAGGCTGGTATAGAATAGTGGTGAGATTGGGTAGATGTAGGATTGGGAACGCTTATAATTTGGTATAATGTTAATTTTATTTACATGTTATAGGGACTTGAGAATATAATAAGATGAGGGTTTATTATTGATGCATATAGGTTGTAATGAAACATGAGGAGACATTGGCAAATATGGCTAAGAATACACGCCAAGGTCAAATGAATCGATGGGCTGGTAATAACAATCAGCGAGGGAATGTGACTAATAATGGTAGTGGTTCTTAAGCAGTCGGAGGAAATCAGGAGTAAGAGTTGGGACAACAAGAACAAGCTGCAATCCTCAATCCAGTTGGAGTAGTTCAAGTGCTTCAGACTTTGGCTGGGGTGGTGCAACAACAAACCACCATAGGGAATAACTTGACTAGACTTATGGAGCAACAACAACGGATGCAGCTAGGCGTTGGGCCACAGCTGAGGCCACGTTGTAACATTACTGAGTTTAAGAAGATAGCCTTGGCATTTGATGGAGCCACCGACCCTTTGGAGGCTGAAAAATGGTTGGCAGAAATGGAAAAGTTGTTTCCCATTTTTGAGTGTATGGATGATCAGAAGGTGACCTATGCTGCGTTTATGCTACAAGGGATAGCTAATGATTGGTGGCAAATGGAGAAGCGCATACATGAGCATGATGCCAACCCATATACATGGGAAATGTTTAAGAATGCATTTAGTGAGAAATACTTCCCTAGGAGTGTTCCTCTACAAAAACAGAGGGAATTTTTGAAGTTGGAGCAAGGGAATAAGACAATTGTAGAATATGAAGCCGAGTTGATGAAGTTGTCTAAATTTGCACCAGCATTTGTAGCAGACAAGGATAGCAGAGCACGAAAGTTCGAAGGTGGGCTAAGAACGGACATTATGCAATAGGTGATTCCTTTCGAGTTTCGTACTTTTGGAGTAGTGTTGAATAAGGCATTGTTGGTTGAGAGTGGCCTCACTAGGGCCTAATAAGAGAAAGAAGAGAAGTATAAGAAGAGACCTAGTTCTTCCAATTTCCAAACTAATAACAGCTCGAAGGGCAATGCTAAGAGACAAATGGGTTCTAGATGTAATAGGTTCTATCGGGATAGTGAGTGTCGTTGGAATACTGGGGCTTGTTTCTCCTGTGGGCAACAAGGGCACAAGATAGTTGATTACCCTAACCGGAAGGGGCGTGAGGCTGAATAGAAGCCATGGGCAAATAAAAGAACATCAACAGACATAGGGTCTTCAGGAAATCAAAAGAAAAATGGAGGTCATAAGCCAAAGACTCAGGGTCGAGTGTACGCACTCACGCAACAAGATGTTCAGACTTCCAACACAGTTGTGTCAGGTACTGTTTTAGTGTCTTCTGTTTATACACTTGTGTTATTTGATTCTGACGCTACAAATTCATTTGTGTCTATGGGATTTGTTGAGAAACATGGATGGAAATGTGTCTCTAGAGAGATCGACTTATGTGTTGAAACCCCGATAGGAGGTGTTATGGTTGCTGACTTAATTTGCAAATCTCGTGTGGTTAGTATGGATAATAGGAAATTACTTGTAGACTCGACTGTTTTAGATATGTGAGACTTTGACATAATTCTTGGAATGGATTGGTTGGCAACCAATTTTGCTTCTGTTGATTGCCGAGACAAAAGGGTAGTATTTCCGTTTCCTGATCAACTAGAATTTTGTTTTGTGGGTAGTGGAGTTAACACTTCTCCTTTGGTAATCTCAGCTTTGCAAGCTAGATGATTGTTGAGGAATGGTTGCGAGGGTTATTTAGCTTCTGTGAGAGATTTTCGTGAGATTGAATTGAAGTTAGAGGATATTCTAGTTATAAAGGAATTTCCTGATGTTTTTCCTGACGACTTACCGGGGTTGCCACCGGATAGAGAGATTGAGTTTGCCATCGAATTGATACCTGGCACGGGTCCTATCTCCAAGGCTCCGTATCGGATGGCCCCAGGAGAGTTGAAAGAGTTGAAGGAACAATTACAAGAATTACTAGATAAGGGCTTTATTAGGCCTAGTGTTTCTCCTTGGGGTGCGCCCGTTTTATTTGTGAAAAAGAAGGATGGTAGTTTTCGCCTTTGCATTGATTATCGAGAGTTCATAAGCCAAAGACTCAGGGTCGAGTGTACGCACTCACGCAATAAGATGTTTAGACTTCCAACACAGTTGTGTCAGGTACTGTTTTAGTGTCTTCTGTTTATACACTTGTGTTATTTGATTCTGGCGCTACAAATTCATTTGTGTCTATGAGATTTGTTGAGAAATATGGATGGAAATGTGTCTCTAGAGAGATCGACTTATGTGTTGAAACCTCGATAGGAGGTGTTATGGTTGCTAACTTAATTTGCAAATCTCGTGTGGTTAGTATGGATAATAGGAAATTACTTGTAGACTCGACTGTTTTAGATATGTGAGACTTTGACATAATTCTTGGAATGGATTGGTTGGCAACCAATTTTGTTTTTGTTGATTGCCGAGGCAAAAGGGTAGTATTTCAGATTCCTGATCAACTAGAATTTTGTTTTGTGGGTAGTAGAGTTAACACTCCTCCTCTGGTGATCTCAGCTTTGCAAGCTAGACGGTTGTTAAGGAATGGTTGTGAGGGCTATTTAGCTTCTGTGAGAGAGACCCGTGAGACTGAATTGAAGTTAGAGAATATTCTAGTTGTGAAGGAATTTCCTGATGTTTTTCCTGAAGACTTACCGGGGTTGCCACCAGATAGAGAGATTGAGTTCGCTATCGAATTGATACCCGGCACGAGTCCTATCTCTAAGGCTCCGTATCAGATAGCCCTAGCAGAGTTGAAAGAGTTAAAGGAACAATTACAAGAGTTACTAGACAAGGGCTTTATTAGGCCTAGTGTTTCTCCTTGGGGCGCGCCCATTCTATTTGTGAAAAAGAAGGATGGTAGTTTTCGCCTCTGCATTGATTATCAAGAGTTAAACAAGGTGACAATTCAAAATAAATATCCTTTGCCTAGAATAGATGACTTATTTGATCAATTGCAAGGAGCACAAGTCTTTTCTAAGATTGATCTTCGTTCTAGCTATCATCAGTTGAAGGTTAAAGTGGAGGATATACCTAAGACTATCATCAGTTGAAGGTTAAGAGGAGGATATACCTAAGACAGCCTTTCCGAACCAGGTACGGGCATTATGAATTTTTGGTGATGCCGTTTGGGTTAACCAATGCGCCTGCAGCTTTTATGGATTTAATGAACAGAGTATTTAAACCTTTTTTAGTTCATTTTGTGGTAGTTTTTATTAATGACATTCTTGTGTACTCAAAGAGTAAAGAGTAGCACGAAGAGCATATGAGAATAGTGTTGTAGGTATTAAGGGAGAAAAAATTATTTTCTAAATTAAAGATGTGTGAATTTTGGCTAGAGAGTGTATCATTTTTGGGCCATGTGATATCTAAAGATGGGGTGTCTGTTGACTTCAAGAAAGTAGAGGCTGTGGTAGAGTGGAATAGGCCTACTAGTGTCACTGAAATTCGTAACTTATTGGGTTTAGCAGGATATTATAAAAGGTTTGTTGAGAGATTTTCCTGAATTTCTATGCCTTTGACTCGTTTAACACAAAAAGGGGTTAAATTTGAGTGGTTTGATGATTGTGAGAAGAGTTTCCGGGATCTAAAGAGTCGATTGGTGTCTGCTCCAGTACTTATAGTTTCGTTTGGGAATGAAGGTTTTACCATCTATAGTGGTGCATCGAAGATGGGCTTGGGTTGCGTCCTGATGCAGAATGATAAGGTAGTGGCATATGTGTCTAGGCAGTTGAAGCCATATGAGCAGAATTATCCCACGCATGATTTGAAGTTGGCTGTAGTGGTGTTAGCATTGAAAATCTGGAGGCACTACTTGTATGGGGTAAAATGTGAGATATTCATTGATCACAAAAGTCTGAAGTATATTTTCACTCAAAAAGAATTGAATATGAGGCAAAGGTGATGCTTAGAGCTATTAAAGGACTATGATTTGACTATCAATTATCATCTAGGAAAAGCAAATGCAGTGGTGGATGCCTTGAGTAGAAAGACCCCGAGTAATTTGGTTACCTTGATCACTGACCAAAAGAATATCTTGGAGGACTTGCGAAGGTTGAATATTGAGATTAGATAGCACAACCATGGAGTGCAGTTGGCAAACCTTAGAGTTCAACCCACATTGATTAATAGAATTAAAGATGCTTAGGGAAGAGATCCTTAGTTGCAAAAACTTAAGGCTGAAATGGAAATAGGGCTACAGATGGAATTTTGTAAGCATGAAGATGGAACTTTGAGATTTGGAGAGAGGTTGTGTGTGCCTAATGATTTAGAGCTCAAAAGAGAAATCCTGAGAGAAGCTCACAATTCAGGGTATACTGTACATCTAGGGAGCACTAAAATGTATAAAGACTTGAAGAGGAACTTTTAGTGGAATAATATGAAGAGAGAAATTGCTCAGTATGTTGCTCAATATTTGGTATGTCAACAAGTGATAGTTGAACATTAGAAACCTGCAGGTAAGTTATAACCTCTTCTTATTCCCGAGTAGAAGTGCGAACATATTGCCATGGATTTTGTGATAGGGTTGCCTAGAACACAAGGTGGTAACAATGCTATTTGGGTTATCGTTGATCGATTGACAAAATCCACCCACTTTCTAGCTTTTAAGGTGGGGTTCTCTTTAGAGAGGTTTGCAAAATTGTATATCAAGGAGATTGTGAAGTTGCATGGTATTCTGGTGACCATAGTGTCTGATAAAGATAGTGGATTTGTATCTATGTTTTGGAGGAGTTTACATGCAGCTTTGGGTACTAAGTTAAATTTTAACACTACATTTCATCCTCAGACTGATGGATAGTCAGAGAAAACTATTCAGACCCTGGAAGACATGTTGAGGGCTTGTGTTATTGATCTTGGAGGTTCTTGGGATGAACATTTGGCCTTAATGGAATTCTCTTATAATAACAGTTATCATGCGAGCATTTAGATGCCACCATATGAGGCTTTATATGGATGGAAGTGTAGATCACCTATTTGTTGGGATGATGTGGGTGAGAGGAAGTTGTTAGGGCCTGAGATTGTGCAACAAACAGTGGACAAGATCAATCTTATTAGAGAGCGACATTGCACTGCATAGAGTAGACAGAAAAGTTATGCAGATAACAGGAGATGCGATTTGGTGTTTGGGGTTGGAGACCATGTGTTCCTTAAGGTCTCTCCCATGAAAAGAGTAATGAGGTTTGGTGTTCGTGGTAAATTGAGTCCTAGATTTGTTGGGCCATTTGAGGTTTTAGATTGAATTGGAGAGGTTGCTTATAGACTTGCCCTACAACCTTCACTAGCTGGAGTTCATAATGTTTTTCATGTCTCAATGTTAAGGAAGTATATACCGAATCCTAGTTATGTGATTGATCATGCACCGTTGCAGTTTAAGGAGGATTTGACATATGAGGAACACCCTATACAAATTGTTGATAGGAAAGAGCGAGTTTTGAGGCATCGAGTCATTCACTAGGTTAAGGTTCAATGGAGCAATCACTCGGAAAGAGAAGCTACATTAGAACTCGAGGATGAAATGAGGCATAAGTATCCACAACTTTTTGAGACTCCAGGTATGTCAAATTTCGAGGACGAAATTTCTTTTAAGTGGGAAAGAATGTGTAGAATTATTTTATTGGATAGATTGGTAATTAAATTAATTTATATGGGTCATTTAGTAATATCAAGGAATTAGTTATGAGATGGTATTATAATTTCTATTACTTAGATGGGTAATTTTGTAATCTTAGGAAATTAGGTTAATAAGCCCACAGGTCGTGGCTTTAAGACTTGGAAAAGAAAAACAAAAAAACAAAACAGAGGCTGGTGAATTGCTGTGAAGGATTTTGGAGGCAGCAAGG